ACTACACCTGTACACAGAAGATAGTCAGTCATTTACATATAAACGTCTTAAAGGTACAGTAGCAAACACAGCCTGTTTAATTCTAAGGGTCAGAGGGGAATAGTCCTGATGAACCTAATTTTGTTTCTGGTGTGAGAAACTTTGAGTGACATACAGTAAGTGGACATCAGGGGACAAAGATGCTGTGTAAGACACAATATTTCAGGGAAAAGTGTAGGATATGTCTCCTTTAAGATAATGTTTGCTCTGTTTTATTCTGTCTAAATCACCTCAGAAACTCTTGAAGGTCATTGAAGCTTCATCTAAATCCTCTGGTCTCCTCCTCATTACAGATTTTCACATTTTCTCAGAACAAACACATTAAAAGCTTCTCAGTTTTGTGCTGATCCGTGTGAAATACAGCTGTCTACCACTAAATTATGATTTTATTTTATTTTTACATCACATTTTGAAATACTGTATTTTGATTGGTCTGTCACAGCATTCTGCAGTTAAATATTTATGTATAATGACACTAGACTGTATAATTGAACTGATTTCCTACATACAGTAGCTGTGGTAGTTTTGTCTCATATCATTCCACATGCTTTTTGGTTTTGCATAAAATAATAATTACAACTCAAGTCAATATTTCATGTGCATTTATCTATTTGTTTGGTAAGCAGCCGTGTTACAAGCAGAATAAAGTACAGTCAGCTGCTCATTAGTGCAGAAGAAATCCCCTCAGTGTGTGTGTGTGTGTGTGTGTCATGCTTGATATTATGAGTGAAAGTCAAGTGCAGTGAAGTGTATCTTAATACAGATGTCTAAAATCCTCTCTGAGAGCGGAAATGACAATCCATAAATCTTACAATAAACACGTACTCTCAGTATTCATGTGCTCATCATACAGTATATACTGAGACTCTAATATAGATCTGAATGTGATCTAACACCACAGACAGACGCTTTCATGTTCACTTGATAAAAGATTTTGGCTAATATGAATAGCTAATACAAATTGTAGTTGGCACATTTCATGAACAGGATACAAATTTTGGCCTAAATTACTTAAAATTTGAGTTATGTTTTAATTAAAAAAAATGTAAACATTAATTTTCTTATTTTCTTTTTATTACAACAACTTGATAACAGGGTTAACAATAATGCTAATAATAACATAATGACAATTATTATTTAATATTATTTATATTAATATTTTAATTTATAATACTATTATTTAATAATATTTAATTTCAATACAATAACTTGTGTTTTCTGTTTGTAGTTATTGATGAACATTAATTTGGTATATTATTATTTATTTATACAATCAATGAAATATGTAAATTATGACTATGGCTGGACAGGCCAGAATCTGCATTTAAAAGGGGATTCTAGACTTAACAATGTTTAAAACAAGCTATTTGTCATGGTACATTAAATTTATGGTATATGGTATAGTTTATCAAACATATAAAGTGCATTACTATGTGATTTGACGTGAGATTCGTGCCCCTAATGCTTTAAAAGTACATCAGGACATCCCATTGTGCCCTCTTCATGGAAAGAGCCAGTACTCTCAGTTTTGATTTCCACATTTTAGCATAATTAAATCCACTCCTCAGATTTGAGCCCAACATCAGTGCATGAAACGGGAGATGATTTGAGATTTGATCTGGGCGGCCCATAGGCATCGCTCTGTGTGCGCTGTGATCTCTGACACATGTTCTCGAGTGAAGCTGCAGCTCGCACTGTTGTCTGTCTGCGATGTGGTTTCATATCTCATACGTCAGACGTAGAGGACGTATTTCTACAGTTTTGTAGTATTTTTCCCCTGAAGCTGTTATTTTAGTGTAGTTGAGATAATATTTATTTATTTACATTTGCTTTTATTTTTATATTTTCTGTTTTCATTAATTTTAGTTAAAGTTTTGTTCATTTTGTTGTATGCTGTTGTCATTTTTATTGTTTTTTTTACGTGTCTAATTATATGTCTAATTTTTATTTCAGTTATAGTTTTTAGTTATTTTAGTACTTAAACAAAAACGATAAATGTTGAAAGTGTAAGGGTTGTTGTTGTTATTTCTTTAAATTTTATTTCAGGTAAATTTAATTTATTTTATTTAATGAAATATGTTTTTTATATTTTAATTTACTTTAGTCAGAAGATTTTTATTTACATATTTTAGAGAGAGAGAAAGTATATTATTTTATAGTATATTTATTTATTATTTATATATAATTTACATATAGATTTTTTTTTATTTCAGGCCAAAACGTTAATTGGCAAAATCTGTATGGATAGAAGCAAATATTATGTGTAAATATTAAGACAGAATTTAATTATAAATGTAAACTATTCCTTTAACACAGTAGCCATCATGTCATGGTTGGATATGTAAGACAGGGTTATTGTTATCATGCTGTCAGTCCTGTGATAGACCCCAGTGTCTCATTTATATCATTACAACAGTCAGTATCTGTACCCGTAATGACTCCAGCATTTTTGAAGATCATTTGTTCGCCTCCTGATAGTTTTAATAGTTATTGGTTATGATAACATGCCTTATAATAACAAGGGGGTGATACAAGATACCTGATCTTGTTAAATCTGTGATAACCAGCTGACTGTACATTTAGCTTTTGCGTATAAACATCTGCAGGTATAGTGAGGTACAGAAATTGGGGATTTTATAGGTCATGAACAGTGTAATTTTAGTATCACTGATACTGTTATAGTATCTGTTGGCATTTTTAATTAGATTTCATTTTTATGTTTACTTAAGTTTTCGCAAATTTTTTGTCACTATTATTATTTTTATATATGTCTATTTATTTTAATGCATTAGTTTATTTATAATAACAAGCATCTGTTTGCCCTATAATAATACACAACACAATCTGATTAGATGAGCTGCTCCAAATGCTTTATGGAAAATAATTGGCCTGACTCAGTAGAGTCGCTTAACTCACAATGATAGCATGGGGTAGATTAGTCATCATCTAATACAGAGTAAGTGAACAAACAGTAATCATTTCTGTGTGGACGTGGCGGGAATAGTGGGTTGCATAAAAAAAATATATATATATATAAAATAACTATTATTATTTGAAAATATTAATAATTGTGTGTGTATATTTACAGTCAAACCAAAAATTATTCTGACACCAGATATACAGTAATTGTTGATATTGATTTACTAGTGGGTGCAAGACACTATAGTTCATTTAAGGGAGCAAAATAAAGTGAACTGTGACATATTATACCCAAAAATTGTTCATACAGTGGACTACCAGTAAAACTGATAAAAATTTGTGACCAAAAATTATTCAGACGCTTTGACCTGACCATGTTTTGCTTAAGTGTTTTTTTCTTTACTTGCTAATGCAACCTTTTTACACCACAGACAGCATTGCTTGGTAATTGGTTGACCTAAATTGTGTATTATCTAATTGTGTACTTCTATTTAACAGCTGAATAATTTTTGGTTGATTGCAATCCTTTACATACCTTTCTATCAAAGTTATCTGACATTATCAAGATTAATTTGTTCTGACACAGTTTAACTCTGAGTTCTTGTCATATTTTATTACCAACTATAGCGAATAAACTGTGTTAATGTGAGAAATGTTGAAAGTGTCTAAATACATTTTGGTTTGACTGTGTATATATGGATACTTTTATATGTATATAATATATTTGAATTTTAATATTTTCAAATAATAAAATTTTAATTAAAAATAAGAATTAAACATTTTAATTCAGAATATCATTATTCAATATTCAGAATATCAATATTCAGGATATTCATATATATTTACTTTTTCAAGTTACATTTTTAACTTTGTAACTGCAAAAGCATTAAAGGTGCACTAAGCAAATTTTTCCAAACAATGTTGATATTTGAAAGCACCAAAACAAACACCCCCATACCCCAAGAGGACCTCGCCCCTGTTTTGATATCTTTGCCATTCCTGTACGTACACAACCATGAAATAAGTGAAGATGACACACAAGCATATTCAAACAAAAGCCAACACAGATAAGTCTTGTGAAACAAAGCAAAATCAACGTTACTCACCTATCAAGAAGAAAAAAACAATGCAAACTCGGCGTCCGCTTCAAACCCTTCCCGCTCCTTGTGTTCTCTCCACCGAAACCCCTTTTTTTAATGTTTTGTTCCTCCGATATTTACCTCTTTTTTTATCTTCTATCTCTCTCTATCTATAGTCGATCTGCTAATACCAGTTCTGTGCACTCAATTTAGCGCTCTCTTCTCTCTATCATTACTAGATACTGCCTTTACTGCTGATTGGCTACAAATGTGTTTGGGACTCAGTCCAACACTGTGGTCAAAAGCGTTTTTCAAATATTGCTTAGTGCTCCTTTAAAAACAAAACATTAATTTAAAAGTGAAATACGTAATGTTAGCCTCCAACCCATCTAGCATTGGTCAGTCAAACAGATAGTCCTGCCCCCAAACTCACGCCATTGGCTGAGTCTGTGTTGCTGTGTTTTAATATTTAAAGGCTAGTTTACCCAAAAATGAAAATTCTGTCATTAATTACTCACCCTCATATCGTTCCAAACCCGTAAGACCTTCGTTCATCTTCAGAACACAAATTAAGATATTTTTGATGCAATCCAAGAGCTCTCTGACCCTCCGTAGAAGGCAACACAACTGTAATGATACTGTCTCCGTAATGGCGGCGCGCACAAAAAAGTATTCATGTAAGATCGTAAAATTACAGTTGAACCCCTGATGTCACATGGACTATTTTACCGATGTCCTTGCTACGTTTCTAGACCTGGGAACATTACAGTTGTGTTGCTGTCTATGAAGGGTCAGAGCTCTCAGATTGCATCAAAAAAATCTTAATTTGTGTTCTGAAGATGAACGAATGTCTTACGTGTTTGGAACAATATGAGGTTGAGTAATTAATGACAGAATTTTAATTTGTGAGTTATCTAACCTTTTAACGTTGGTATTTTACTGCTGTTGTTTGTGTGTTCTCACCTGGCCAGCACCTCCACGTTAGAAATGGCGTAGAAGTATTTCAGCAGGTTGTCTCTCTGAACGTACGTTCCTCCGAGAGCGGGCCTGAGGAGGCGGAGCCTGAGATTGGTGAACGTGAAGAAATCTCGTAAACCCTTCATGCTCTCCATCCGCGTGTACAGCCCTTCCATGTCCAGCAGCCTTGGGCCGGCGTAGATGGTGAAGCGGGAACGCACCTCGAAGCGCACCACCTTCTCGTTCTTGGACCCGACCCAGCGCGAGTATTGCTCCGTGCAGATGACGCGGGTGACGTTGGCCGTGGTCAGATCGCGTGCTCGTCTCGGCGCCATGTTGAATGCATCCACGCAGTCGTCGGCGTAGTACTGGTAGGGCTGCCAAGTGCGGCCAAAATTGAGCGACTTCTCCAGCACCATGACGGTGGGCCGGCCGTATTCGAAGGTGATCTGAATGTCGTCGGTGAGTTCGAGGGTTTTGTTCCAGGACATGGTGATGTTGGCCTGAAGAGGCTCGGGATACCGCCGCCACGTGACCGTCTGCCAGTAGGTGATGAGGCCGCTGCGCTCGCGGTCCTGCATCAGCTGCGGCGGGTGAGCCAGGTCAGGGTTAGACGCGTCACATTCATCACTGCAGAGGTATGGATTCTCCTGCAGACAGAGAGACAGAGACACCCTTGTGAAAAAGAAACACACTTCAGCATACATTTAAAAAGAGTGCTTACTATGGAAATAAATCTAGTTTTCGGGCACTTAATTGCATGTTAACTTCAAACGAATGAGAATGAATTATAGTTTAAATGATATAAATGCAGTTAGGTGAACTTAGGAGTGCTTTTTTTGACCCAATAACGTTTTAAAAAAGCAGTGCGTCTTTATATGTAATGTCATAATTACTTCTTTAGTCTTTGAAATATG